CACTGTTGCAAGCGCCATGATCATGATCAAATAGCTATAACAGCTATGCCGTCTTTTGTTCATAGGGGCCGTTCGAGTATTACGTAAGCAGATTAATTACAATTATTTACCCCCTCTTCCCCCTTGTCAAATAAGCAAAGCTCTTACCCCCCCCCCCCATGCTTACATAAACATTGGTACCTACTCGTATATGCATTTTTCTTTAAATGTATTCTATTTTTGAAGTTATACTTCTTTAGCCGCGTTATGAAAAAATTATGAGAGTGAAATTTTAAGATGCGCGCGCATCACTGTAACACAAAAGTAACATAATGAAGTTAGCCGCGGGCGCGTTATGAAAAAATCATGTGAGTGAAATTTCGAGATGCGCGCGCATCACTGTAACACAATAGTAACACCATGAAGTTGGCCGCGGGCGCGTTATGAATGTTAGTGTTCGAAAGGTACTTTGAACGATCCACGGAGCTCCATAAGATGATCGCGTTGTCAAAAACAATGTTGGCACGCTCGTCGCCTCTGATCACTGTTTTCATATTTATAATATTTATCCACATGTTTCTAGTTTCTATATAGACACAACGTGTTTTAGTTACTTACAAGTGCTAATTACATATGGACTAATAACTTAAATTCAGTAGTGATTTAAATTGAATATTTTGATTATTTATTAAATTTTTCAAATTAAAACTGAACTTTATTGACTGCGTTGACTATCCTTTTCCAATCCTTTTATTATCTTATTGTAATTAATTATCTGCATGCAATTAAAAACTATTTTTTAATAATTCCAAAAAGAAGTATAACTTCTCACGCGCGTACTTAAGTACACGCACCCATATTTTTTTTTATTGATTCATGAGCTTTCATGAGCTTCATGAGCAGCAGTACTCAAATAGGCATATGATAATAATATTCAAATAAACAAACTTTATTGACACAGTAATATAAGTTATTTAAGGGATTGTTACCATGTACCTTGTTTTTAGCAAGTTTCCGATATTTCGGCACTGCACATGGCGCTTGCAATCCCATAAATAACTTATATTACTATAATGTTAGCGACCATGAAAGTTTAAAACAATATATTTATTGACATAGTATTCAAAATATAGTAAGGTACAAATATTATAATCTTATTTAGCTTATGACATCCGAATCCGTGATGCTGACATTATCACTATCTCGACCTAGGGTTGCAACGATATATCGGAATATCGATAATATCGAGACCAAAATATCGATATTTCGTAGACTAAATTTGAACACAATAATATCAATTAATTTACCTGCTATGGCTATCTAAATTGAATAATATCAAAATAACTATTGCTTTGAAATCGCAAGAGCTTATAGATGTATTAAAAAAATCTTGAACCCCAAGAAATATACTAAACTGGTATGAATTCTGGCATGATTCTCTAAACCTAAAATTAAATTTGACAACAGTGTATCCTTGTCATTCTCTATACAGAATGAAAAGGAGAGACTGATGTTAAATTTAGTTTTAAGTTTAGATAATCATGCCCGAATCGACACCAACGTATATAGGTATAATCGTATACCTAATGGTAACTCATGCACTTAAATAAAATCCTTGCCTCTCTTTCTAAATAATTGTCAACTACTGATTAATTGAAATTTAATATCATTGTAATATAACACAAAATAAAATTAAGAATCTTATAAAAATCGTAAATTTTTTAAGCTCACCAAGTCAAGAAAGTAAGATAGATATAGTAATTTTGGAAGCTTTGGGCTTACCCTATTCTGACGCCATGGGCACGCCCCTGATGTGTAGGTTTTACTAATACATAACAATTGTTTTTCATATGATTGTCTATTCTGATTTTGGCTGCGTGCAAACATTTTAAACAAAATAAATATCTTTGATTCGAAATAGCTTTTGATTTGATACTTCTTACAGCGCTATAAAAATAAAGAAAATATCGTGTTGGAAATGTTGGAATGGCTGATATATCGGATCGGATATCGATATTTACCTGCCCATATTATAAATATCGATATTTCGGAAATCTTTGCTTCCTTAATTATAGGTTTTTGCTTTGCAAACTTAATAAAAAGCAAAAAAAAAAGAAAAAATATCGATATATCGATAATATCGAGTAAAAATGGTCGATATATTGGATATCGATATTTTCCTGACTTCGATTATATATCAATATAAATATCGATATTTCAAAAGACTTTGCATCCCTATCTCGACCCCCCCCCCCCCCCCATGTCATCAAAAATAAGCAAAGCAAAGACCCTGCCCCCCTATAGTGCTTACGTATTACTTGAACAGCCCCATATCACTCAAAAGCGATTTGTAATTTAATGAACACAGACAAAACATGGAGTAACCAATCCAATCCTATTCTTCGTTTAAATAACAATATGCTAGTGAAGATTTTGATAAATCTATGTGAGTATGTGAAAATAAATTGAAATATACAAAAAAAATGCTATTTCTTCTTTCTTAAGTTTAATACTTGTAAACAGTGCCGTCTTTGACCTATTAGAGGCCTTGGGCATATTAGAATAATGGGGCCCCTATGACTTCCGTTTGATGATTTAACAGGAACTAGGGACTTTGTATTTGATCTGAGGGGGCCCCCCATCGATCGCGGGGCCCTGGGCACTTGCCCAAAGTGCCCAATGGGAAAGACGGGTCTACTTGTAAAGGTATTCATATGACGTTGTGGGTTACCTACAATGCAAATAATGGGAAGACTAGAAAGAATTCGACGCGGTCGTCAGGGCTTCGGTAGTGGTCAGTGCATTCGCCCGGTTAGCGAAGGGTGTGGGTTCGTGTCCCGTCTTATTTAGGCAAGAAAGAAACTGTAGTTTTCCATGATTTTGACTTCGAATTTAATCACAGCCTTAACCCGTGTTCGTAACTCCTACGGGATCGGAAGTCATAAATTTTTCGTAACCGACTACGAAAAAGCAATTGTTTTGTCCATATTTCGTAACTGGCTATGATTAATACATCATTCAGCCAGTAATAAAAAAATGACAGTCATCATCACCATCAGCCTATTAATGTCCCCACTGCTGGGGCGCAGGCCTCCCTATGGATGGAATAGAGATTGGGCCATGACCCACCACGCGGGCCCAGTGTGATTTGGCGGGTGCTAACGACTGCAGATGCAGCCGGGACCAACGGCTTAACGTGCCTTCCGAAGCTAGAAGGAGTTGCTCGAGATAGTAAAATTTAGGTCACCCATCCAATGACCGACCACTGCGAAAGTTGCTTAACTTCAACGATCGCAGCCGAACGCGCTAACCACTTGCGCCATCGAGCTCCTCGACAGACAAATGACAGTAATAATACAGAATGTCCCAAAAATTTTCCACATGGACTGAAAGTACTTTCAATACTGTAGATAAAAAATTTTACTTAATTTCAAGGTATGCAATATGTAGAAATCAGAATCATATTTTTATTACAAAAATAAAATTAATAAAAGTACAAATTGGGTGTTATCAAAACTTCATCTGGGTGACATATTTATTCTTTTTTTTTATTTAGATATTATTCATTAGTAGGTTAAGGTAATTTGCAGGACCGGATCTACCATATGGCTCTTTGGGCTTTAGCCCAGGGCCCCGTGGATTCAAGGGGCCCTAAAAATACATTGTTGAATATAACTCCATTGATATTACCCCTATAATGGGAGGAGCAAATTAAAGAAGTTGCCATTTCTGCACTTTGTAGAAAGGTTTCTTTGTAATTTGTCCATTTATTAACGATTGTAGAACACTAAGGCATAATATATTATAATTTAAATTAAATAGTTTACTGTCGTTTTTTTCTATACTTTTAGTAATTAGATGGGCCCCTAAGTATCAGGCCCAGGGCCCCCTAAACTCGCGGTCCGGCCCTGGTAATTTGTATTTAAATTTTATATATTAGATAGTTTTAAGGTTGTTGATATTGCACGCCTCACAACACGTAAGCGTGTGGGAGTGCTTTACTCTCGATAGGCCGCTATGTGACGATTTCACAATATAAAATCGCTCTTATCACCCAAGTTAGACACTAAAACAATAAAAAAGGGATGTTTTGAAAACTAGACATATTAAATTATAGAGTCAGCGTATTTTTTAATTTTTTTTAGTCTGCAGTCCGTTGGTCTGTGCACTTGTTTGTCTGCACGTTTTTAGAAAAATATACGCAATTAATTGTAACAAATCATTTTGAATTAATTTCCACTTATACTGAGGATGACCCCTATTTCTTATCATGATTGAACTGATAACCGTTTTAAAGATATTAATGAAATTCAATGGAATTTATTTACTGGGTTGCTGTTTCTTGAATGTGAGGCGTGCATTTTTGGATTGTTTTTATTTTCTTTAAATTTATTACAATTTAAAGAAAATAAAAAATGTAAAAAAAGCTTGTGTTATCTGTTCTAAAAAACTTCACCAAGTTCAAGTAAAGTTCTTTTTTCTGTTTATAAAGGCAAATGTAATTGAACAATACGGAATTGTTATTCCCAGATGCGAAATAAATTTCGAGGCACAACAACTTCGTATTGTTTACCAAATAACATTTTATGAGTATTATTTTAAATAACTACGTACTAAGTAGGTACCTGATTAAAATAGCAGTTTAACTTTAGTTAAAACGTTACGTATACATTAGACTCAATGTTATATAGATAAATATCAAAGTTAATATAAAAATCACTGAATGAGTGAGTGAGTGAGGAGTACCTAAATATGAAGAGAAAATTAATGTACCCTAAATTTATCATACTTTTTCGTAACATACCATTTACACTGTATGCGAATATATTAACGTGCGCTTCAAAATAGTTAGCCTTACACACATTAAACGCATGTTAAATTTCGTATGTCAAAAGTCATACAATCATAAAATCTGACGGCCAAATCGTACACGTTAAAAAATACTAAAAAGTTCCGATAAACATTGTGACACCCAAAAAAAAGCTTTTTTTTATAAATACAATAAAAGTGGTTCAACTCACCACTGCCTCCTCCGTAGCTGAGCAGGGTCGCCAACAGACCTGTAACTACGAGCCACTTCATCTCACAACCCTCTAGGCACTGTTAGCACACCGCGTGGGGCCTGCACGACCACCTTATGTGACAGTCAAGGCGCAACTGACAACTTCGTACATAATTGTCCCCACGCTTATTGAAAATGATAATTTAGCTGAGCAGGAGCACAAACTTAATTGTAGCGTTGCTCAAGACCGTGTTTCTCTTGACCCCTGTACACTCGCTCAGTTTTAAAGCTCATTATCGTGTGCTCGCTTTTTTGGCGACAGAAGATTCTCCTTTTGATGTAATAATAACATTATCTTTAAATTATGAGATTTTTTAATGTTGAGTATGAGTATTCAGTGTTGTGCCGATAGCCGGGTTGAGAGGTTTTTGCCCGTCAGAAGTGATTGGATGTGTGGTTCCCGATTTTTATTCCTGTATTACCAAATTATTAAAGTTCTTATAAGTAGCCCCAAACCCGTTTAGGAAACGATTGAACGAGGTAAGTCTTTCTATCTTGGACACGTCTCAGTTTTCGAATAGAATACTAGATATCAAATTTATAACGCAAACGGAATTTTAGTGTGGGGAAACGCCGCCGACATTCAAACTATTTTTGTGCTGCAGAAGAGAGATATTCGATCAATTTATAATCTTAAAGTTGAGGAATCCTTAAGAGATAGGTTTGAAGAATTTGGCATAATGACGGTCGAATCACAATACATATACTAAAATTTATTACTTGTAAGAAAAAATATTAATTTGTTTCTTAAAAACAGTGATGTTCACACACTTAATACAAGAAACAAAAATAAACAAACTTTACCTGCTACTAGGCTTCACAAAATCAATAATTGATTTAAAGGTATTTGTGTTCGCTTATACAATAAAGTCTCAAGCAATATTCAAGAGCTATTAAAAAAAGCACTTATTGAAAAAGCTTATTACAAAGTATCTGATTATATTACAAACAAATATGCTTGGGTTTGAACTGTTCCAAACATTTCAACAGGTTTTCTATATTAAATAAATCATGATTTATTGACGTTGTAAGCTAAAAATATGTCCAATATTGAGTGGTAGGGAAAAAAAATTTTGGACTATTCAAAACAGTTGCACTATGCATCTAATTTGAATAAAGATATATTGATTTCTGATTTGATTTTTAACTTTATTCGTGTGAAAATAATAAAATAATTTTTAATTTAAATAATTTAAAAAGACTATCAAGATGTTATTATACAGCCTAACTGCTGGATGTGTAAACACAGGAGACCGAAGAGGCGGCAGCTACCTCGGACAAAGAATTAGTCTAGCTATCCAAGGGGGGAACGCTGCCAGTGTCTTCGGAACCTTGCCTAAAGGGACTCCTTTTAATAATGTATTTTAGTTATTATATTTAATTTTTTAAGGTTTTTAGTTTTAGGTTCGTTGTTATTTTTTGTTTTTTTTTTTTGTTTTAAGCTAGTATTAGATAATTAATAGTATAGTTGTTTAATCAAAATGTGTATGAATATATCGAGATACCGTTTTTATGAACAAGAAATCTTTAACGTAGATATTTTCCAATTAAAATTTAACAAGATGTTTTAAATAAACTAACCTTGTATTAAGAATAAGTGAAGTCCAGGCACGAACGTAGTTGATGAAACAGAAAAATGTGTTACTCCAAGCGCTTTAACCCAAAATAAGCCCGAAACTTTTTTTTTAATCTCATCTCCATCCCCGTGGAACTCTTGAAACCTTATTCCCCTGAAGAAACACAACACCAAAGAGAGGCAGGGCACAGCGGCAACCTCCACTTTGAAGAAGACTACAGTTAAATAACATTTACTTTTGCTGGTGTAGCGTTTCTACTGGTGAGTAGTATTCCAGGGGGTAAGAGATTCACGTCGGGAGGAAAAGCCGCAGTGCCATCATTGCGGCGCCCCGGGCGACACGGCCGAGCACACCTTATTGGAGTGCCCGGCCTGGTGACACCAGCGCCGCGAGCTCATTGCGGCGTTGGGCTGCGGAGTCCTCTCGCTGCGGAGCATGGTGGAGGCCGCTCCTCCACGCCCTCTCGCTCCTCCGCAGCGAGAGGGCGTGGGAGGCGGCTGAGAAGTAAGGGGAGGATGATCCCCTGGCCGCTCCCTCCCGCCAAAGGAAGAGGGTAGGAGTGGACGGCGGCGCCCCTGACTGCGCCCGTCCCATGACCCTACCCGGGGGGGTCCCTCGCTGACCGGCATGGCGTCAGCTGTGCCGGCCACCGACGGACCCCGTGACGGCAGCCCCCCCTTGTAGTTCTGTCCTGCAAAGAGGGGGGCGGCGAAGGGAGCTACACGGGCACGCCCAAGTAGCCCTCCGCAGCGGACGAAGGGCGGTACGGTGGGCACTAGGCCGCGTATTCAGCCCCCATGCGTGGGCCATGCTGCGCACGTCTGCGGGGTCCCCGCGATACTCCGGGAGACCCCTGCCGTGGAGCCCCGGCTAAACCGGGAGGCTGCTACGTGCGGAGGCGCGGAAGAATCCCTAAGCGGAGATCCCGCGGCTTTGCGCTAAGCAGCTTAGATGGTATTCGCAGGGTTTTTTAGTGTATATTATGCCGTAAAACGCCCGAAAGAGTTACGGGGTCCTCAGTGGGTAGCCACTGCTGGGGCTTATAAGGCTTGCGGGAGCCAGGTGTGGGGTCCGTTCGGCGGTGTGCCTCTTAAAGGCGCCGTCGTCTGTAAACAGAGGTTTTACCTGCGTTAACAAAAAAAAAGGCTGGCAAGGTGATGATTGCTGGAGTGGCACACCTTCTGCCACATATCTTTGCGACGGGCCTTGTTGCGCCTCGTGTGAAAAATAACACCAAAAGGATGACGAATGTTCCAATTCAAGCGATTCGGCAAATCGTAACTAGAAGAGGTAACTTCATCATTATTATAATAATAATAATAATAAATATATCTTTATTCAAATAAGGTCATACATTGCATAATAATACTAATAACAATATAAAATACAAAATAATGGATGCCTGAACTAGGTTACAGTTAAAAGTGTACCTGTATTTCAGGCTTTTATGATCTAAATAATACATTGAATGATTAATAAATTAACAAATTAATTAAAACAGAACTTAAAGTAATCATATAAATGTTGGTAAATGTAAATTATGGAGTTACGTTCATTTATTTACAAATAAGAAGTAATTCTTCGTAGTAATTAGTAATTATTATCAACTTATTAATGTCCCCACTGCTGGGGCACAGGCAGTACCGTCATTGACCTACTGGAGGCCCTGGGCATATTAGGATAATGACTTCCGTTTGGTGATTTAACAGGAACTAGGGACTTTGTATTTGATCTGAGGGGGCCTCCTATCGATCGCGGGCCCCAGGCCCAAAGTGCCCAATGGGAAAGACGGGTCTGGGCATAGACCTTCTCTACGGATGGAATAAGGAGATTGGGCCATGCCATGACCCAACACGGGTGCACAGTGCCGATTGGCAGGTTCTAACGACTGCAGATGCAGCCGATAGAACCTCCGGCTTAACGTGCCTTCTGAAGCACTTCTTACAAGAGGTGACCCAAAACTTTAAAACACCTAAAATCGGTATAAATTAAATATCCTTTAAGTGAATCTACGCTATATGCTTGATAATTAAGAATCATTTCACCTAATTAAGAAAATCTATTCGCCCGTTTCATCGTAATTCAGCATTTATATTTAATAATAACAATCATCAATATTTATATAGTTCATAAAAACAACATTTATATCGCCGGATATTATGACGACCTCCGTGGCCGAGTGGTTTCTACGCCGGGTTTTGAGGTGTCGCCTACTCGAGAGGTCCAGAGTTCGAATCCCGGTGGGGGTAGATGTTTGTGTGATGAATACGAGCATTGGTACTTCAGTCATGGATGTTAAATGTAGTTCTATATAAATATACTTATATATGTATTAGTGTATTCTATCCGTTACCCTAGTATCCCATAACACAAGCCTACAGTGCTTACTTTGGGGCTAGGCTAATTGGTGTGAGTGTTGGAAATATTTATTTATTTAATTTATATTTAATTTCAGCGCATTAAGTACCAAGTTTCGTCACGCAAATGTGATAAAAGCATTAAATATTATTGCATTTAAGAGTATTAGTATGGGTATAAAATTACAGAAAGAAACCACTGAAAAATATAAATCACAGAAGTTCCTTTTTAAATAATGATAGTTACATAATATATTATCTGAATTCATCTTAACTAAAAAACGAGCGAGCCTTACAGTAGTCGCGTATGATGTGTAACATTTGAAACCTCACCTTATATTAGTAAAAAAATAAATAAAACCTACTACAAAAGGAATAAGCCATTTGAACGACTTTTTGGCGGGATCGGGAAGCGTCACTTTAGCAGTTTTGTTTTTCTTGTTAAAAATTGTGTTGTGGCGATTGTTAGTGTCTAATAATGGTGGATTTTATTAACCACTAAGTGTTCGGAAACATGCACAAGTGTTGGCAAGTGAAACAAAATAGCGGAAGGTGTCTTTCGACGTTCCCTCAAGAAGTCCACGGGGAGGTTCCAGTAAATCCCCACACATTTACTGAAACATAGGGAAAGGGGGATTGACTTGACTGCCACTTACTTTGATTTGATTTATTAACTTTGACCACGAGTGCTATAGAATATGTAAACATTTTACACATGACATTGGCTAAATGCACAAACCGTGCGAAGCCATTTGGAAAAAAATAAAAAAAAGATAAGCCATTAGAACATTATGTTCTTAAATCAAATCAAATAGCGCGCGCTTTCCCTACTTCCGTCCCATTTCACGAAATCACTCCCACAAATTGCAGGAAAGCGAGAGGAAAGATGTTACACATGAAAAAGTTTATTTATAGACCATCCTATTTTAACAAAGAAGGATTGTGTTCTAAAAATAGGCACCTGGATCTCAGAGCCCGTTGCGTAGGCTTTGCATTTTGTTCGAAGCCTTTGCCGTAGGTATTGAAAAAGGAAACAAAACTTGACTTAGCAACAAGACTGGCCACTCGTTTGAATAAAAAAAAAATAACTGGAATTCGCATGTTCTATATTTAAAACATAAAGAGACCAAGAGAGTGGGTCGTAAAAGGCATTTTATGTTAGAGCCAGACTTTTGAGAACGCC